CCTTCTATGGAGTGTTACTGAAAAGTGTCCAACTAAGTGTCCAAACTACCAAATTTTCGAGCTTCCTATCAACATTCATGCCACTTGTAGAATTAGCACCAAAACAAGTTCCTACCCTCCCAGTGGTTCCATCAAAATTTCTTGAAGAAGTTTTTCAAGTAGATGGAAAACATGGATGCCAAGGATAACTGTTTTTGAAAGAGTTTGATTCTGATTCATAAGCTAATTATTTTGTCCAGAAAACATTCATCCAATTTGTCTCCTGGGGGATTCCAAGACTTCATTCATCATCAGAATATCAGTGACAGTGATTGTGAATTGGTGCAAGATATAAAAGTGAATCAAAACAAATCATCACTATCATCATGGTTTGAAGTTTGCTATGGAAGAATTACTGCTTCAAAGCTATGAGGCACAAAGTGCAAGACATGTGAAATTAGATGAACAGGAGAATTTTGAGAATAATGGTAGTTTTCAGTTACTTGAAAATTTTTGGCAAACTGTTATTTTCACCCATTTATTAAACTTATAAAATATCAGTACTTTTTTTCTTCTCTTATTCCAAAATTGGACTCATTTAAGCTCACCAGTGTCTTATAAATAACATATTTCATCATACACAACTTCAAAATCCCTTCTCATATTGATCATACACTATACCTTCACAAACTGGAGATGGTAGGTATCACTTCTTGTCGAACAACCTAGTTATTCATATTTTATTGTCAGTGGAATATTGGTAAGAAAGACCAATACCTATCATTACACCAAAAAAGTAATGAAAGTAGTAAGAACAAAATCCAGTAAGTATAAACCAAGAAAGCACTGGCATATCTAGAAATGATGGAAGATGCAACATCAATTCTCAATGCGAAAAACAAAATCATGCAAGCCAAAATGACTAGATAGGTATTGTCACTATTTCATGTGGGGAAAATGTCAAAAATGTGAACAAATAGGTAGTACACAGAAATTATCAAATGCCCCCATCTTCAAAATGAAGCAAGAATGCTCAAGAATGTTGGGGGAAATTTTCATTTATTATCCACTTTATGCAGTAGATATAATTAGAACAGTTAAATATCAATAGACCTCCTAATAGATATATTTCATTTCTAGAATGAATATAGATGTAGAACATGGAAATATTATATCAATATCTTGTCCAGATCATCACAAAGTTTGCAAGAAAACAAATAAACTTAATCATGATGTTAAAAATCACTAACATATTTGTATATCAATCAGCAACAGTCCTGAGTCATTTTATCACAATTTGTTATGGGACTGTCAATTTGGTTCTGGTTCATAGTATTTGATGTCAGTCTCTTCCATGACAGGTTCCTTTTCAGGTTCTTCAAGAGAACTTTCTTCAACTAAAACACTCACTGGTACTTCCAAGAATTTTCCTCAAGGAGAGTCAATATGATTTGAGGGAAGTTCCATTTTATCTTATCTCCCAAAATCTCAAGGGATTATTGAGATCTTCTTTTCCGTGCTAAAGATGAAAGTAAGGATTTTGATGGGTGTTTTCTCAGTTTTGGACGTTTAATGAATATGGAATCACATCTTCAGGCATATAAACTCTAGATCCAATGAGTTTTAATTCCACCCAGTTCAACATGTTGTCATATCCAAGCTAGAACAAAATGAGTATGATCAATCCATATTGAAGGAAAAATTCTACTCACTTCAAAACGATCCTCACAGCAAAATATATCATTTGATTCCAGGTATGGTTAATCCCTCTGTTTATCCATATACTTTGTTCAGTGTTCAGTGTTGATTAAGCAGGATCGAACCAAGTTTGTGGCTTTTCTTTACAGCCACTGCCATCCCAGAAATGTGAATCAACGTTGATGAGAAAAAATAAATAATTCGATGGCAGGAATAAAAATAATATTGGCCGACAAAAACAAATAAACAATAAAATAAAATAACAACTGACAGTAGTGACAGATGAACGAATCGTCAACTGTCCACACAGTCAACAGTCCAGAAGATATCAAGCGACGTTGCCGGATCACCGTCTAATACTTGTCACGTCACATTAACGCGCGATATTCCAACTCGTTTGAACGGGATCAATACTTTGCGAATTTTTTGTGGAAAAACTACTTCGAATAAAAATCTGAAAAAAATACCTGAGACTTTTATCGTCATACTAAAGGCCATGGTATTTTTTCCAGAAATTCGTGTTCTCGCCTATTGGAATGAATATCAGGTTATTACTTTTGTTTCAAATTATCCCATAGTTTTTTTAATTGCTTTGTGGTCCTTCTGGATACATCGTTCGAGTTATAAAATTGAGTAATTTTATTCCAGGCTTCATTTTTCTGTTGGATCTGTATAGCATCGGTTTTTTTATTTTCCAATATATTCTTATATTTCTCCACCAAAGACATAAGCAGAACCTTCTCTCTTACGGAGAATACTTTTCTATCAATATCACTCATCTGTAAATTTGAAAAAATCATCTAGTATCAGTCTTTAAGTCTACAGAATCAAAAATTTCCACTTACCTCGCTTTTTCACTTTCAAATTTGAATTTTTGAAATATTGACACAACACGGCACGAAACAGAAATCGACATAAATCAGCAGAATCTGGTCACAGAACACTAACATTGAACACTGTTGCCAAATGTAAGGATTCCTTACACAAGGAGCACTTGAGGAATGTTTATAAAACAAGTCATTCCTTCAAGTGCTGAGGAATCCTCAGATAAGGAAGCCTTGAGGAAGTCTTGAGGAAACGACTATAAATATGGGCCTTAGTCAATCCAAATACGAGATGTCAAATGTCAACAGTTTGCTTTTGAATGACACACGCCATTATTTCAAATGATATTCTACAATTTCTACCTTCTTTTCACTACTCATAGGTATAATGTATAATAGGAAAAAATGTGTTATACATTGTGATACCTATATATAAATTGTCCAATGATGAAAAAAGAAGGGCAAATTGTTTTAAATGCGATCCAGAAGAAAGGCGGAAAAGAAGGTGATATCTTAATAAATAATGGTTTGTTCACATTTTCATTTTCAAATTCGTGTTTTTCAGACAAAAATACGTGAGTACAAAACCATTTTCGAAAAAAAAACCATCACATGATAAATGCAGTTTTACCTAATTGTGTACCCTCGTGTGTACCTACCTATCTACCTGTAGTCTAGTGTCTAGTCTAGTTTTTTTTCGGCCTCCTCTGCTCTCCGCTCCCTAATTCCTCTACAATACTTTTTATGCATACTGTGCGTGGTTTACGTGATTATGATTTCATCCGAATTCGTAAAAAAGTTCAAATATTTCAACTACATTGCGATTTTTTCAGCCGCCATTTTATTTGCAAACATTTTGCGGAATTCGAACAATCCTACCATATTCCTACAAACATGAACATAACTTTAGCCGGTCTTTAATTCAATGCCGGTTTCAATTTTCTTACCGATTCACTGGTACAGGAATGCGTTTTCTCGAGTAATCTTCATGCAGTCAATAGTTTCCACTTCAATCATCACATTTACACTAGTTTTGTTATAAATCACACGCGTTTTATACGAAAACTATCAGAATTCAAAATTTGTTTCATGGCGTCATAGCACGGTACGGTACCATGTTCACGAGAGCGCGAGACAGAAATGACAGAATGGCATGGCAAATTGGCAAACCGTTTTGCCAGTGTTGCCACTGTTGCCAGCTGCTGAACCTGAACCTAAAATATCGCGAAATGTTACGAAAAAAACCACTAGAAGGATTTTTCATTCACATTACCCGTCATGGTTGAAGCTGATAATCCCATTTCATTGTGTTCAACCGTGACATCATTTCCGTTTCGGTATACTTCCCCTACCTGCCCTTGAGTTTACCAACTCCATAGTTGGTAAAGGTGGTGGAAGTTGAACTCGAATATTTGTTAACAATAATTAATTGATGAATGTGAAAAATGGAGGACTTAATGAGAACAACCAAATTAAAAATGAATGGGGAAAACGACATCACACGACACTACTAACGACGAGAAATAGTTAGAGCTTAGCTACAATCCTATTTCGATTTTGCGAAATACCTCTATAGTCACTGTTTCTGTTTCTGTATGTGTTTGGCAGTGGTAACCAAACCTGATAGCTGATTTGTGATCCATCGTATCCATTTGATAAGTTTCGAGGAGCCACAAAGGGTCATCAGGATTTGCGAAGTATTCCATCATGAGAATTAGCTTTTTATAAGGTAGGATCCATATCCTTTTGGCAATCAAATTATTGGTTCGCTGTACATTCTTTCGACGTTTTTGGGACAGTATATTGTGTTTTAGAGATATTAATTGAGAGTGTTCATTAGGATATAATGGGTTAGTGTGGACTTGATTGAACTATTTGCGTTTTGTATTTCCCACGATTGTGTGCCTTTACTGTTTGTAAAATAAGAATAAGAAGTAGGAACCTATTACATGTGTCTGTTTCTACTGTCTATGTATCTTTATTTCTACACCATATCCACTTTCTTCGAAAAGTTGATAAAACTATATATCGACCATCATTTGAAACGTGTCCAGGACAGGTTTTCAGAAAGTGTCCAAGACAGTTATTATGAGACATGTCCAGGTCGGTTTTGTTGAAACGTGTCCGAACGGTTGTCTTGAAACGTGCCTGGGACGATGCTGTTGAAATGTTCCATGAAACTTCACTCTGAGGTAGGGCATTAACATTTCTGGGACCTTTCTGAAACGTTAGAGAGACTTGAGAAAGGTTTCAGATATCCGTAAGACATTTCTCTGGAACGTTCCTGATACTGAAATATGTTAAGTGGGATTCCGATTATTATCCTGCTCGAACAAAAGCTATACCTCCTGAAATGAACGAAACATTCACATATCCATTGTCGATCTGAATGAAAACCGTAGGCGATCTAGTGCGAGGAGGTATAGCTCTTGCCTACTAACTACCTAACAAGGTTGTCATCTAGAACGACAATGACATATCAACGTCTTCTAATTCCAGCAACCCGAAAGACAGCGTTCCCACTCCCTAACCACCTGCCTTCCGCCCACAAGCGATTTCCCCCCGCCCACACTCCCGCCCAGGGGCGTGGCCAGCCACCAGGCGCCTGCCCACCTGTACCTGCCGCCTAAGAAGCCGCCGCTGCCGCCCCTGCCCTCTTTGGAGGTGCTGCGCCAGAAGAAGACCAAGGTGTCCGAGCTGATGGAGGGAAGAACAGCGAGTATAGGGTCGCCGTTGTTCCAGCGGAGCCGCAAGGTGTCTAACGATCTGGAGGAGGGGGAGGGGGTGAATGGAGAAAGTGAGAACAAGGGAGGCAGACATGCGACGGCGGTTAGCACTCCTACGTCGCCGCATATGGGTGAGTTTTATTTTGGAGGGTGTCTGAAGGAGGGGCTGTTTTTGGCTTCCATATAGACATGAATAATATGTTGAACCATAAGATTGTAAACCATGTTATTTATACTTCACACGATAATTTGCTTTTTTTAACTCTCGGAGCGCACGAAAGGTAATTCCTAATATGTTTGAAAAACATAGTGCGTGAAAGGATAGGGAGCTAGAGAAGGTAGGTTTTAGATTTTGTTTGAAGTCTTTGAGATCACTTATAGGCTCTTCCATTGGCAAATAATTGAAGCGCTTTGTTGTTCTATCCCAGTAAACACCAATATCCTCGGAATGTCACATTCATGTCTCGCTAGGTAACCATGCAAATTACAAGGAAACATCATTGGTATTGCCAGGGGACTCTTCATTTCACACAACTCCCGTAATATTCGTCACATTTTTTTGGATTTGAGACTAGAAATGTAGGTGAATTTGTGAGGCTCCCTATCAATCCAGAGACTCACTGGAACATCATATTCTTGTCTATATATTCATGTAACAAACGGAATCAATCAATTTTGATGTTGAATGAGGTGTCGCTTAATACGTACTGTGAGTCTCATTTGGCATCATAATGTGAATCATGAAATGACTAAAAGGGTCCAGAATAGCAGTCATTGTGATTTCAGTGGGGCTCTCGAGTCACGGATGTGATGTGTGGCATGAATGTGATGCCCTCCTTTATCTCTGGGATCCGTGATAACAGGGATAAATAAACGAGTTGTGGTCAGGAGTTGTTCAATATATCTACTCTAGCTATTGTACACCCGACTCATGCGAGATGCTAAATAACTTGCAGAGAATCGGTGTCAATTCTAGTGCACTTTTGAGACCGAGCAGAATGCGTCTGATAGTGCGTTGACGAAAGACGATTTCGGGCATTTGACTTCCAACGGGTGGAATATCTATGGCGGCAATCTTCTCTGGGAATCTTGGGTGGAGTTTGCTGCGAACAGATCATTGATATGAAGTAGGAACAATGTTGGTGCCAAAACTGAACCAGAAATGATGGCAATGGTATCAGACGATACTCCGTCCACCACCACATGGAGCGATCTGCCTGAAAGAAAACTCGATAAAAGATATGACATATAGCTGAGGTAATAAGAAGCCGTATGCTGGTAGTTTGTGGAGGAGTCCTTGGTGCCAAACATGGCCGAATGTTTTCGAAATACCCAACGCCATCGCTAGGTGAAGTAGATATAAGTAAATCTGTAGTTGATCTTCGGTGGCGAAAGCCATATTGCCTATCATCAATGATTTCTATGAGCTTTCAAGGTATTTGATGAGCTCAATGTTGATGGCTTTCTTCATCACTTTGGAGATCACTGATAACTGGGCAATTGGTCGAAAGTTGTTGGGCAGGCTTTTGTATCCTGTTTTGGAGATCGGTTGGACTCTAGCTATTTTCCAGCTTGCATAGAATCGGTGTCAATTCTGGTTCACACTCATTGAGAATATTGGGTGGAATTCCACCAGGACTGTTAGCTTTATTCATTGATGGAAGACGATTTCGGCCATGGACTCCCAACGGAAGGAACATCTGGCAGCACTATTGCCTTCATCATAATTTGATAGCATTCAGCTGAAGATAAGTTTTCAAATGATCAAAACATGTACAAAAATGGTTCAATTCTTCACGGTCTCTATTTGAACAAGGAGTAAATGGATGAATGAAGAACTTCAACCCTTTCAAGGTCGAGGAGCCCACCTGCGACTCGTCCCGGTTCCTATGGACTTCCCCGACCGACCCCTCAACGGCTGCACCGCCAACCGCGACGGTTTGCTGCAGAAGACCGACTGCGCCATGGCCAACTTGCTTGCCAGACTGGACCAGGTGGCGGGACAATGCGCGGCGGCACAGGTGCATGGCGGTGGCAGATTCATCAGCGAGGAGAAGTTTCAGGTTGGTCCTATTTTGATTTACATCACCAGTTATGGTTGAAGCTTATAATCCTATCTCATTGTTGATTGAAAAGCAAATAATCAGTCATTTTGACAAATGTTCGAAACTAAACAACATTGGTAGATGAAGGGAGAAAAACAACTGTTTGCAAAATCACTTGAAACACCGACCACGTTTCGGCAAAAAGAAACTTAAATTATTCATACGGAAAATGTTTTGGTTTAACCTCAATTATCTCAATTTCTGAACATGAGAGTTTATGGAAATGAAAATTGAACTTCCGGATCATAGAAGATCTGCATTACACGAAATACTGGTAAGTTCACAAACTTCCCTTGAAATAGGTATCATTATGGCCCTTCACTTTTTTTGTGAGTGTTTGCCAATAGGTATTATCAAATAAAGGTAAATCTGTCCTCGAAAGGCCTCCAAAATATCATATTTCAATTGATCCAACGCATTACCGTACCACACTGTCTTAAAAAGTATGAACACACGGAACGCCTAGCGAAAAATCTCTGATAAATCAACATTTATTATTCCCATTAGAATGTGAAGTAAATTGATGATTCCTCTCATCATCTTCAAAAACGGAAGTGTCTCAACTGACTTTGTAAAGACTATAACATGAAAAGTTTACGTTGCGTTTGTGTGTTCATTACTGAGGTTCGTACCAGAGCTGTTGATCGATTCTAGTTTTTTTTTTTTCAGTCAGCCAAAGAGGAGCTGACCTCGCAATGCCTCCAGCTGGTCACATTTTTAGAAACGAAAGTGTCTCAACTGACTCTGTGAAGACTATAACATAAGAAGTTTACATTACGTTTGTGTGTGTTCATTACTGAGGTTCATACCAGAGCTGTTGATCGATTCTACTGTTTTCCTTTTCTGTCCGCCAAAAGGGAAATGACCTCGCAATACCTCCATAGCTGGTCACATTTTTAAAAACGGAAGTATCACAACTGACTTTGTTAAGACTATAACATGAAAAATTCACGTTACGTCATCTTCAAAAACGGAAGTGTCTCAACTGACTTTGTAAAGACTATAACATGAAAAGTTTACGTTGCGTTTGTGTGTTCATTACTGAGGTTCATACCAGAGCTGTTGATCGATTCTAGTGTTTTCTTTTCAGTCAGCCAAAGAGGAGCTGACCTCGCAATGCCTCCAGCTGGTCACATTTTTAGAAACGAAAGTGTCTCAACTGACTCTGTGAAGACTATAACATAAGAAGTTTACATTACGTTTGTGTGTGTTCATTACTGAGGTTCATACCAGAGCTGTTGATCGATTCTACTGTTTTCCTTTTCTGTCCGCCAAAAGGGAAATGACCTCGCAATACCTCCATAGCTGGTCACATTTTTGAAAACGGAAGTATCTCAACTGACTTTGTTGGGACTATAACATGAAAAGTTTACGTTACGTCATCTTCAAAAACGGAAGTGTCTCAACTGACTTTGTAAAGACTATAACATGAAAAGTTTACGTTGCGTTTGTGTGTTCAGTACTGAGGTTCGTACCAGAGCTGTTGATCGATTCTAGTATTTTCCTTCTCAGTCCGCCAAAGAGAAGCTGACCTCGCAATGCCTCCAGCTGGTCACATTTTTAGAAACGGAAGTGTCTCAACTGACTCTGTGAAGACTATAACATGAGAAGTTTACGTTACGTTTGTGTGTTCATTACTGAGGTTCATACCAGAGCTGTTGATCGATTCTACTGTTTTCCTTTTCAGTCCGCCAAAAGGCAGCTGACCTCGCAAAAATCCATAGCTGGTCACATTTTTAAAAACAGAAGTGTCTCAACTGACTTTGTGAAGACTATAACATGAGAAGTTTACGATACGTTTGTGTGTTTTCATTACTGAGGTTCATACCAGAGCTGTTGATCGATTCTACTGTTTTCCTTTTCAGTCCGCCAAAAGGGAGCTGACCTCGCAAAACCTCCATAGCTGGTCACATTTTTGAAAACGAAAGTGTCTCAACTGACTTTGTAAAGACTATAACATGAGAAGTTTACGTTACGTTTGTGTGTGTTCATTACTGAGGTCCATACCTGAGGTGTTGATAGATTCTAGTGTTTTCTTCGCAGTCCTCCGAAGAGGAACTGACCTCGCAATGCCTCCAGCTGGTCACATTTTTAGAAACGGAAGTGTCTCAACTGACTCTGTGAAGACTATAACATGAGAAGTTTACGTTACGTTTGTGTGTTCATTACTGAGGTTCATACCAGAGCTGTTGATCGATTCCACTGTTTTCCTTTTCAGTCCGCCAAAAGGAAGCTGACCTCGCAATACCTCCATAGATGGTCACATTTTTGAAAACGGAAGTGTCTCAACTGACTTTTTGAAGACTCTAACATGATAAGTTTACGTTACGTTTGTATGTTTTCATTACTGAGGTTCATACCAGAGCTGTTGATCGATTCTACTATTTTCCTTTTCAGTCCGCCAAAAGGGAGCTGACCTCGCAAAACTCCATAGCTGGTCACATTTATAAAAACAGAAGTGTCTCAACTGACTTTGTGAAGACTATAACATGGGAAGTTTACGTTACGTTTGTGTGTTTTCATTACTGAGGTTCATACCTGAGGTGTTGATCGATTCTAGTGTTTTCTTCGCAGTCCTCCGAAGAGGAACTGACCTCGCAATGCCTCCAGCTGGTCACATTTTTGAAAACAGAAGTGTCTCAACTGACTCTGTGAAGACTATAACATAAGAAGTTTACATAACGTTTGTGTGTGTTCATTACTGAGGTTCATACCAGAGCTGTTGATCGATTCTACTGTTTTCCTTTTCTGTCCGCCAAAAGGGAAATGACCTCGCAATACCTCCATAGCTGGTCACATTTTTGAAAACGGAAGTATCTCAACTGACTTTGTTGGGACTATAACATGAAAAGTTTACGTTACGTCATCTTCAAAAACGGAAGTGTCTCAACTGACTTTGTGAATACTATAACATGAAAAGTTTACGTTACGTTTGTGTGTTCATTACTGAGGTTCGTACCAGAGCTGTTGATCGATTCTAGTATTTTCCTTCTCAGTCCGCCAAAGAGGAGCTGACCTCACAATGCCTCCAGCTCGTCACATTTTTAGAAACGGAAGTGTCTCAACTGACTCTGTGAAGACTATAACATGAGAAGTTTACGTTACGTTTGTGTGTTCATTACTGAGGTTCATACCAGAGCTGTTGATCGATTCTACTGTTTTCCATTTCAGTCCGCCAAAAGGGAGCTGACCTCGCAAAACTCCATAGCTGGTCACATTTTTAAAAACAGAAGTGTCTCAACTGACTTTGTGAAGACTATAACATGAGAAGTTTACGTTACGTTTGTGTGTTTTCATTACTGAGGTTCATACCAGAGCTGTTGATCGATTCTACTGTTTTCCTTTTCAGTCCGCCAAAAGGGAGCTGACCTCGCAATACCTCCATAGCTGGTCACATTTTTGAAAACGGAAGTGTCTCAACTGACTTTGTAAAGACTATAACATGAGAAGTTTACGTTACGTTTGTGTGTTCATTACTGAGGTCCATACCTGAGGTGTTGATAGATTCTAGTGTTTTCTTCGCAGTCCTCCGAAGAGGAACTGACCTCGCAATGCCTCCAGCTGGTCACATTTTTAGAAACGGAAGTGTCTCAACTGACTCTGTGAAGACTATAACATGAGAAGTTTACGTTACGTTTGTGTGTTCATTACTGAGGTTCATACCAGAGCTGTTGATCGATTCCACTGTTTTCCTTTTCAGTCCGCCAAAAGGAAGCTGACCTCGCAATACCTCCATAGATGGTCACATTTTTGAAAACGGAAGTGTCTCAACTGACTTTTTGAAGACTCTAACATGATAAGTTTACGTTACGTTTGTATGTTTTCATTACTGAGGTTCATACCAGAGCTGTTGATCGATTCTACTATTTTCCTTTTCAGTCCGCCAAAAGGGAGCTGACCTCGCAAAACTCCATAGCTGGTCACATTTATAAAAACAGAAGTGTCTCAACTGACTTTGTGAAGACTATAACATGGGAAGTTTACGTTACGTTTGTGTGTTTTCATTACTGAGGTTCATACCTGAGGTGTTGATCGATTCTAGTGTTTTCTTCTCAGTCCTCCGAAGAGGAACTGACCTCGCAATGCCTCCAGCTGGTCACATTTTTGAAAACAGAAGTGTCTCAACTGACATTGTGCAAACTATAACATGACAAGTTTACAAGTTTGTGTGTGTTCATTATTGCGGTTCTGAGGTTCATATACCAGAGCTGTTGATCGATTCTACTGTTTTCCTTTTCAGTCCGCCAAAGAGGAGCTGACCACGCAAAGTCTCCAACTAGTCACCTCTAGCAAGATGCTGGTGATCGCCATGTCCGATCCGAGCCTGCCCGACCTGCCCGAGAACCTCGCCATCTGCCTGACCATCCTGCGCAGGCTCACCGAGCTCTGCCAGGACCTGGCCAATCACACCACGGCGCCGCTGCAAACGCGGAACCTGGTGGCGAAGGTGCGTGACGTCACAGCTGCGTTCAGGCACCTGCTGACGTCAGAGATGGACCGTACCTCACGCCGGGCCATCGAAGAGCATTTGGCTGCGCAGGCGGAGGGCTTGGCCAACGTTTTGGCCACTTTGTTGCGCAGCCTCAGGGTGTTTTCGCCCTGAACGGTCGAGGACTTAGAGAGATCGCGATAGGGGAACTGTAGGGGGTTTTGAATATTTTCTCTTCCTCCCCTAACAACACAAGTACGCCCCTTGTACGTCCCAGGAATATCATTCATTTTCTACGAGGATGTCTCTGAGATATTCTGTGTCGGGACATAGTACATCCTACGTCCTAGGGACATCCGATTTCCACAGAAAGAGGCCCCCTAGGGATCTCCTTCTGGTACATCCCTGGGGTGTTCCAGTCCTTACTCTATTGGCCAATATGCTGCAAGCGAATTTAACGTTAACATCGTTGCCAAATGCCACATCACCAAGTATTTAGATGTTGCCGAAATTTAACAGGCCAAAACCAGAAAAAAACGTAAAAACGTAAATTATTACAACTTTGTTAGGATTTGAGTATAATTTTTCATCATTCTTGGGTGGTTAAATGGGGGTCATTATGCATTTACGATTTGTGTTTACGAAATGGTTCTGAGACCATTCTTTATTTACATTACAATTATTCTCCGGAAGAAAAACAAACATTCTCGAAAAAAATATTTCTATGAAGTTCAATTACTCTGTTGGTGTGATTAGATATCAGATATTTCAGGGACACAAATAGAACAAAAAGACGGGATACCCACTGGACAACTCATGTCCTTGTACCGCAGGATAAAAAAGAGACGTACCTAGGACATCCCTGTGTTGTTAGAGCCCAATGGTATTTGCTACAAAGGGCATTCGAGGACACGGTCACCATTGAAAAAATAGTGTTTGTGTTTCGTTATCATCAGATAACGTAGATTCTGCTGTTACTTTCTTTAATATGTGGAGCGTATTTGTGATGCTGTCACATATTTGTGACGCTGGTCTACCAACAGTTATTCTGCATGATATATCTTCAAACACTTATACCTCTTTTTTTAGATATGTCTCAATATTCATTGAGAACTCGAGAGTGTCAGGAAGTGTAAATATGTAGGACTCATTGCTTCTGAAGGAGATTGCAATCGGCGTTGTCCTAGACGCCATTTTCATAATATACCTTATAACCTCGACATTGACTCGGAATTAGTAGGTACCCATTACCCTTTGTTTTAGAAATGTATGAGGGAAGATCAGTATTAAAATCGTCGATAGTCTGCTTAGGAACTAGATGAACATTTAACAAGTATAAATCAATTTGTTGATAAATGAAGTACTTATAGGAATAGTTATTCTGTTTCTAATAATCCAGTTGAACAGATAAATAGTGATTATCCCTCATGCTCACCTAGAAAGTTTAATTTTTTGTCGTGATGGTGGTGGGAACATTATCTATTCAAATACACTTATCAATAACCTGAGTGCCTCACTCTAGATCTGACTCTTTTTGGTGAACCAGTAGTTTCTGAAGAAATTAATCGATTCATTTTCTGATTTTCAGTATCAGGTGTATTATTTTATCGACTTCAAACTTCAAGCAAGGCTACAATTAGGAGAGAATGTCGCCATAACGAAACTCACACAAGGTGTAGAGGTTATGAAGTTTAGCAATCGGATGAAAAGTATTTTTTTTATCAGAAACATTAGTAGCAATTCGGCTCCCTTGGCCTCAGTGACCTCAGACTTGAGACTGACAGCTAAAATCTAGTTGCGATAGCAGTGACTCTTTGATTTCAGTCACTTTTGACAACTGCAAAAATATATTCCACTTCGTCAGATCAAAACACAACACAACACACCCCAACAAGAGCGAGAATGAGTCAAAGAAATTGTTCCAATGTAAAACCATCACATTCAATGCAAAGTTTTAGTCAGAAAATAGATTTTTTCTACAAACGTCAAAAAATGACAAGGTTCGCGCATTGATAACAAATTGCGAAGTGACACTTTTTTTCAGTTTTCTACGTTACCATGATACCTTGCACAAAACAATGCGCGAAGTACCTACTTCGCGCACTGTTATGTAAAATATATGAGATATTTATATTTCAACTTTATGGTCCTCAATCGAGAAAACATCGACGAAATCATTTATTTCTGAATGTTCAACAATAACTTTGTTTTATCTCTTGGAGCGCACGGAAGGAAATTCCTATTATGTTCGTGGAACATCGTGCGTATCTAGGGAGGGTAAGGGAGGCCTTTTAAGCCAGTATATCAAGCTAAGCATATTTTTACTTTAGAACTATATTTTTTGACGTTTGCAGAAAAAATTTTGTTTGCAACTCGAGCGCGAAATACTTTAGTCATCTCGACTATTTTTTTAACTCGGCTACGCCTCGTTAAAAAAATCAGATCTCGATCACCAAAGTAGCATTTCGCGCTCTAGATACAAAAATAACTATTCTTCAACCAATGTTGCTGGGATCTGGTGATAATATTTATTCCTTCGGATAATACAGGTTGTCCAAAAAGAATCAGATTTGGAAGAGGTTCACTTAGTGTGTTGAGAACTCTTCATAAGTAGTTCTTGATAAATAATAATACCAATGAGATTCTTTTATATTACATTTTTTCCTCTTGATATCGAGTGAAATACTTCTTGGGCGAGTATAAGTTGTCCAAGTAATCAATCTACTCCTAGAAGAGATTCTTTTTTTTTTATTTTTTTTATGCATAACAACTGGTCATTGTTTTATTAGGTATTAGTACTGTTGATGTGAACGAAACAATTAACGATTGGATTACGGAATTTGGAATTCATAACTCGCATTATGAATTGGAAAATCTTTACCACGAGTGGTGGTATTATCAATGAAAATCCGGAAAAATCTGAAAATACTATGTGTGCTTACAGGACATTTTTTATACTCGCCCTTAATTAATAATAATTGTTGATACTCATATCCTGATAGATTTATTGTTATAAGCATTCAGATTCACTGATTTCGATTATAATGACTTGTTATTTGTTTCTATTTGCAAGTTATCAGTTTATAGTGAATATTATAGACTGTCTCGTAAATATATAGTGTCTTTCAGTGAAACTGATGCTAATTGGTACCAAAATTTTACTATATTCGAATAATTTGTGTTTTGTGTACATTTCTAGTCACGTATTTTAGTTTATGGACACAATCGAAGTGCATTTTAAGTCGGAAAATCTGAACTGTGGTATCGAAAAACTATGTATTTTCGGGATAATTTCCTATCCCAGTGGCTTTTTGGCAATGGGTGATTGTGCGTTGACTCTGTTTGGATTTTATCCATTTCCGTTTAGTATATATGACTTGACCAAATGATACGCTAAATAAACATACTATACAGAGTGTTTCACTTTTTGTCTTGCGGATTCCTGCTGCAATAAGGTCTAGGTACTTGTATTTTATGATAATCTGACATATTTAATTATCTAAACTAGGCAACACTATATTTGTCGCACCCCAAAATGTTGTCCCTGTTAAAATATGAATAACTTTTTTCTGCTTTGGACAATTTGAATTCGGATTACACTGTTCGCTAGCCCAGTATTTCAGCTATAATCTCGTACTTCTTCAAAACATGAGGTTCTTCATATAAAATCGCTACAGGGTGTCATCTGAAACTGTGAAATATTTCGGAATTTTCAAAAGGATCCCAAATGAACAAAAACATGTTTCTTCATCTTCGACAGTAGGGGCATGAAGATGATCTCATTACCTAGGGACATTTTTCAAATTGTCTTCTTATCTCTTCTATTTACAGAGTCTTCTCAAAAAATTAACTTTCTGGTTTCGCAGTCATAACTTCTTTCCTTGTCAACCCCTTTTCAATAGTATATTATGTAACAAGTGTTATAAACGTCTTTTTAGTAACGAGTATTTTAAGCACGAGCGGAGCAGAGCGGAGCGAGTGTTTAATAAACGAGTGTCTAGAAGAGTTTATAAACGCGTTACATACTATGCTTTTCCTACGAACTCCGAAAATTACATTAACATACCTGCTATTCCTGCTAACCTACAAAATAATTCAAAAGGAATGGGAATTGAGAACATAATACATGCAACCAGTGAGAAACGTATACGTGATATTGGTTGTAGATGTGTCCAGTCCATTGCTTACTAACCTTTGTTTCACGTTCATTGACATGCTTAGCGCAGAATAAATAAATTGTTCTCAAAGATGGATGCTTCATTTTTACACTTCTTGGAGATATGCAAGTACCAAAATATTCTCCTCGATTTCCCTTTCGTCTATATTTCGCATTTATTTTCAATGAAAAATTCTGATACAAACGAAAATTGACTGAATAATACTGATACAAAATTCAAAAATGACAGTTGACAGTTAATACAATTGTTAGGCCAGACATGTCTCAAATTACTGAAGATGTGTTTAATGAACTGCGTTGCCATGGTAATGTGTTTGAGAAATCGTGTTGCCATGGTAACGTTTTTAATATTTTGAATAAACCACAGATCGTCAATCCGTGATTAATTGATCATTTAGCGTGGTACATATCCAAACGCTAAATGCCATTTTAGTTAGGAGAGTAGAAAAAATCTCATTATGAAGCTGAAACTTCAGATGGAAGCACCCCTGAATGTTTCGTAATTGTTGAGTTAGGATTCTGAAACTTACAGGAGCGAGAGATATACAGAAAATAAACACTATGACCAAGTGGAGTCATCTCCAGTGATAAACACTGCTCGACAACAGCAATGGAACCACCCAAATTTCCGGAAAAATTCAAGATAGGTTGAAAATCACTTCGAATTCGAAATCAGGATGTCCAATTCACTATATACATAGTATTCTTGGAAAATTTTCAGTTCAGAAAAATTAAATGTTGTCTCCCTTCAAATGGAAGCACGTTATAATTGAGGTAGAGTTCTGAAATTTGCACGAGGAGGCGAAAGGGACGTCCTGATTTCGAATCCGAAGTGATTTTCAACCTATCTTGCCTCCTTATACCATTTTTGTGGGTGGTTCCATGGCTATTTGCGAGCAGTGTATATCACTGGACACGACTTGACTTGGTCATAGTGTGGTGTATTTTCAGTTTATCTACCACTCTTGCAAACTCCAGAATCCTAACTCAACAATTACGAAAGATACAGGGGTGCTTCCATTAGAAGTGAGACACACTGTATAATGTTCATCTTGAGTCAATTCTGATCGTCATATCTTTTCATCTTAAGTTTAAGCTTCAAACGGAGCCTGAGATTTCAAAAATCGCTTGACGAGGAAAAAAGTTATGACTGCAAAACCAAAAGGTTAATTTTTTGTGATCACTCTGTGAATAAGAGAGATGAGGAGACAATTCGAGAACTGTCCCAAGATAATGAGATCATCTACATGCCTCCACTGTCAAAGTTGAAAAAAAGAAGTTTTTCTTCATTTGGGATACTTTTGAAATTTCCGAAATTTTGCACAGTTTCAGGTAACACCCTGTAGCAATTTTACGTGAAGAGCCTTATGTATTGAAGAATTATAGCTGAAGGACTGGGCTAGCGAATAGTTTTATACGAATTCAAATCGTTCAAAACAGAAAAAAGTTATTCATATATTATCAACAGAGGCAAAATTTTGGGGAGCAACGAAATTTCTTGCGTAGTTTATTTGAATTCCACTCTCGACCATTTGTGTGTGTCATTCTGTTCCAAAATGGCCAAGAAAAATGATAACTTTTGATGTGGAATTTAACAAGACAGGAAGTGTGATACTCATTATTAGGTATTAGCGAACAAAGTCTGATGTTGAAGAATATACTCTTTATGTGATACTGTCTATTTTCTGTCAGGTTTGTTGTTTGTTGATGATTCTTGGATAATAGTAAGCGATAAACAATAATCTGAAGTTACGGATCTGTCCAAATAGAGTGGTTTTTAAAATAGTATTATTATTTAGTTATAGCTTATAGCTAGTCGGAAACCAGTACAATAATCTTACACCAGTGTTCCAAAGTTACCTGTACACCAAATTTTTATTGAATGTCTCCATAACTTGTCTACCATGTTGGGATGATCATTTTAAATGTGCCTATCAGTCACAAATTCTTTGATAAAAAATCTCTTTAAAAATCGTATGAAATGGGGAAGTTTCCTATTGAGGTTTTCATCTCACTGTGAAGTTTGTAAAAAATTAATATATATGTATTTTATCTTTTTTTCGTGAGATCAAATTTCACTTCAGAAAAAAATAAATAAAAGAGGAACTTGGCTCCTCCACCATTCCTGTGACGTACTTTCTGAAAATCCACATTCACACAGAGTTGGTGCCAGTACGACGTTGCCGATATCAAAAATATGTCTAGATTTCCGGAAATTGTTCATTGAATGCGACTGTCATCATCGGTTCGACAGAAGGCAGTATATTGGGTGTTGCAGTGGTATTAATTGCGTAAATGAGTGTTGATTACAAGGAATCGACTTTTTCGATTGATTTTCGATTACGCGATGAAAAACATTGTGATAAATAGGTTTCTTAACTCCATGTCAGCTCAGGAATATCTTACAACCATTATAGCATCGTTGTTGTAAGAATTATTCAGAAAAATCCAGATGGGCCTCCTTGCGCCCCCTTGGATTGCCTTATCTGAAAAATCACGAAAACAATTCGAGATACTGAGCAGAGCCAACGATCCGAATGAAGGATTTGTGTTTAGCATAGCATATGGTTATGGCAGCACCAAACTGAACAGACGATTTCACCAAATTCTGAACATTTCTCGAAAAAATTGATTCTTCTTCTGTTAAAGTTGTCGATGATTTCAACGCAATATGAATCCATTTTCTAGAATGTGTTCCATCGTATAGAGTGGCAAAATACGTTGAATGTGGCTTGCATAATTTTAAAATCAGTAATGATGTGATGTAAACCTACAAATGAAAAATTATCGATTTTCAACATCCTGTATGAGGAATATGGAAAATTACAAAACCTTTTCGAGATATTGGCTTGAACGTTCGGAAAAAACGCTTAATAGAAAAATAAAAAAAATTGCCTGGAATACGGAAGCCTTTGAATTTTTTCATTTCTGTAATGCTTTTTTTGAACACTTGGTGATTAATGACAGAAACAATCCCGATGAGTTTTGAACAAGGAAGCACTGCATTCCGATTGAAAATCCATTCATTTTCTAATAAGATATGACGGTTTGAAAATTGTCAAATATTTCAGTGGTTCACTTGTTTCTTTGAGCACTTTATTATGAATAATTCCAATTAATCTCTCATTGGCTAAATTACGTTGATTACTAATAAAGATAAATTATGATATCTTGCGATAGTATCTATGTTTTTTCGCAATAGTTTTGTGCTATTCATAATTATTATTGTCAGTTATCTTTTGCTAATGAATTCGTTCCCTAATAAAACGGATCGATTTTCTAGGAAAGTTCAGATTATATCTTGCAACAGCGCCTAATACTTCGAGTCCACACCTCTCAAAATACTGACAGGCACAACAAGAGGAAGAAGCCATGGGTGTCGGCTTCATTCTCTCCTGGCCGATGGCAGTTAATTAGGAAAGATAGTATCATTGAATGTAGCTGATAATGATTCATTGATTCAATGATATTTTCGTTCAGGATCGAGCTCTATTAATGCATAAATAACAGCACCCTAACCTGTCAGAATGAAGCCAACTACCTTCTGCATTCCTGCTCCGAGTGCATTTTCGGTTATGTATGCTTTTGTTTACCAGTTTTACATCTTCTTCTATGTTTTTCATTCGTTAGTTATTCGCTAGCTATATTCATCACCATCAGCTATTTTCAGACTAGATTCAGAATGTACGTCACAGTTTGCAGCCCCAAAAATTAGGAATTGCTTCAATTCGAAAATGAAAACGACTTGGTCTTTATCGGTCGCCATTCTGTACAGCGTGGACATAAAACTGGAAAGTTCCGAACTTATTTTATGAAAATTCATCTGA